CCATAGGCGCCGTAATTGGACAATGAGCTGAACCCAGAAGGCGGAAGACAGACTGGTCTTAACTGCATTGGAGATTTGGGCAGCACTTTCAATTCTCCTAAACTGATTTGTAAAAGCACCACTGTCTTCCCAAAGATGGTCAACGACGGCAAATCAGACAATGCCATGGCCTCGGAAAAATAAAAAATCCTAGCAACCAAGAGGGCCATGAAAGAGCGCTTGGCTTGGCGTGTTGTGTCCTCTGTTAGACTGCAAGCTCCTCGAGGGCAGGGACTGTCTTTTGCCTCTTTTTGTATCCCTAGAGCTTAGCCCTGTGCCTGGCACATAGTAGGCGCTTAGTAAATGTTTATTGATTGATTGATGAGCAAGCTCCCACTAATGAGATCAGAGATCTTCAAAGCACGAACGTAGGCCTGAAGAGTTTGCTCAAAATGACGATGTGTCAAAAAGAACGGAAGACGCTCGGTCTCTCTGCAGTGTCTAGGCTTCCTCTCACAGAATCACAGAATTTCAGTACTGGAAGGGGGCCTCAGATGGAGTCAATACCCAATTCCCCTTGAGCCAAAATCCACAGCAAGTGGTCATTCAGCCTTCTCTTAAGGCCCTCCAGTGATAAGGACTCCTGACCTCTCAAAGCAGCTCACTGTATTTGTGGATAGTTCTAATTGTTAGGAAGGTTTTCCTTCCATCCAGCCAAGATCTGGTGCTTGGTAACTCTCTCCACAATCTCCCCTCTAACACCCCCAGGCCAACACCCCACCCACATCAAGCTCCTCTGGGACCAGAGGGGAAAAATTGTAATCCCTCTTCCAGATGACAGTTTGGATACAATTCTGTCCCCTCCTTAGTTTTTTATTCCAAAAGCTAAACATGTCCGGTTCCTTGAGTTGACCTTCCTATGGCTTCTCATCCCATCATCGCTCTGGTCACTTTCCTTCAGACATATTTCAGCTCATCTCAGCACTTCCTACAAGATTTTTGTCCAGCCCCGAACACTATCCTGGGGCCGTCAGGGCAGAGGGCCCAGCACAGAGGAGCCGCTTCCTCCGTGGCCTTGGACCTGGGGCCTTGGGATGCTTTCTAAGGCCCCAGTGGCTCCAGCTGGCCACATCGCGCAGCTCGTATTGAAGTCTGCTTCTTAAAATCAACGGGTCTGTCACCTAAGATTCCCTCTACCTCTGGCGTTTTATGTCCAAGGGGAAGTGAATTTGTTGAAGGTAGAGGGTTTGGCCCTGGAATGAAAAGATGAAGAATGACCCAGTCCTTGCCCTAACTGGGCTTATAATGGACTAGGACGTGGGACATCTAGACAAGTGAGAGGCTGGGCAGGGAAGGGTTCATGAAGAAGGCTTCGTGGAGGAGGAGGCACATTCATTCATTCAAAAGACACTTGGGGAAGCTAGGTGGTGCAGTGGATAGAGCACCAGACCTGGAGTCAGAAGGACCTGAGTTCAAATCCAGCCTCAGACACTTGACACTAGCTGTGTGACCCTGGGCAAGTTACTTAACCCCATTGCCTAGCCAAAAAAAAAAAAAAAAAGAGTGGAAGAGAGGCAGGTGAGAAGGCAAGGACCAGGCAAAGGACCAGGAGAACCCTTTGAGCTAGGAAGAATCAGAGAAAACATCAGCCTAGGCTGGGAACAACACCCTCACCCAAAAGAGCCTCTCCTCCATTTTACTTACATCGAATCATCCTTCTGCAGAAAATTCTAAAGCCCCACGTCTTATCGAAAGCATCTCATTTCAGAGGAAAACCACACGAGGGAATGACTCAAAGTCTTCTTTGGCCAGACCACAAGTGGGCATGTGGTGGGCAGGACATGAGTGATGCTCATGGTGGGGAGAGGAGTGGGCGGTACAATGGTGGGGACAGAGAACTTCGGGATGCCCATCACCCCAAGTCAGGCTGAAGACGCTCTTTTCTTGTGGGTGACCCCTCTTTTATGGCACGTAAGGGCAAGATGGGCCTGATTCTGGTGGACCAGAGCCTAGCTGCAGGTAGTGGGGGAAGGGGGGAAAGTCACTCTCAGAGTGCCATGGATCAAACCCGGCCCCCAGAAGAGCAATCCTGGTGGTGGCCAGAATGCTTGGATGGCTGATGAAAGCAGCGAAGGTTACATTTACAACGGAAAAGCACGGATAAGGTATGCTAAGGCTCAGATGAAGGCACGCAGAGCAGGACTGCACACTGGAAAGAGCCTTGGAGTAGGGAGCCAGGAGACCATGAGTCAGGACTTCCTCCCAGGTGCAAGTCACTGACCTGAAACTCCTCTTCCTCACCCATGACAGGGGCAAAGCTTGGGCGACTTCCCCAAGGACGTCTCTGAACCATGGGACCCAGACCTGGAAGGGGCCGTAAAGATGATCTGGACCAGGGCTCCTCCCCTCGGGGTCCACGAGCTCATTTTGTAAATCTTTTGATAACTGTCAGTAAATATGACGGGTTTCCCTACGCACCGAAGAACACGTTTGTGAAGTCCCTTGGCTTCCCAGACTGCTTGCCCGAGGGGTGAAGGCACAGAAAAGGACTCCAGGAAGCCTTGCTCCAGCTTAAACCCGAACTCTTTTGGTTTCCAAATGAGGAAGCTGGCCCCCAGAGAGGTTAAGTGCCTTCCCCAAAGGCACACAAGTAGAGAGCAGCAGAGTTGGGATTGCATACCAAGTGTTTCAAGGAAACTGCTCTGTAAATCTGAAAGTGAGAGACAAAAACGAGGGTGACAGCTAGGGTTCCTGGGAGTGGCTGAGGCCTGAAACACGGGCCCTTGGAGGCCAAGCACCAACATCCAAGTGCTGGCTCTCAGCTAATCACGAGCTGTCTGACTGTGGGGAATTCATTTCCCTGAGGGGGCTCCTCATGCCCTTCTGTGTCCTAAGAGATGGAGGCAGGACAATCTCAGCTAATCAGACTTAATCTGCTTTGAAGATGGACCCCTCTGAGTGGCAAAGAAGCCAAACAATGAAAGGATGAGAGGGCGGGGGAGCCCTCGGACAGAGGAGAAGGGCTGGGAAACGGCCAGAGGAAAGGGCTTCCCCCATCAAGGACAAACCGGGAGGGGGCACCCTGGCAGCTCGGGTCACTCTGCAAAACACACTGTTGACACTGGACAGTTTTTTCCAAGGCCTGCTCACAGCACCGCACACATTTCCTACCCATGTAGGCTTTGGAAGAGCTGGAGGAAACATCTGCCCTGGTACATGACATCATTAACCTAATGGTCAATATCTGACCAAAGTCGATCTGGTGGGGCCCCGGGCGTCTTTCTTCTCTGGAGGGTGTTACAGTCCCCACCTAAAAGCTCAGGCACCAAATCCCTGTCATCTCTCCAAAGGGAATTTACTTTTCAATCCAGTTTCATCCAGTCTAGAATGAGGCAGGAGACAATATTCACGCTGTCTCCTGAGCTGGTCAGACCACACTTGGCGACCATACGTGTTCAGCCCTCAGTCCTGAAGGAGGGATGCCCTCAGGCCAGGGCACTGAGGAGAGGGTGGCTGCAGGATGGTGAGGGGCCATCTCAGGAATGGCCCAAGGGACTGGGGATGAGGACTCTGGGAAGAGAGAGCTGTCCTGTCAAGGTAGGATTGGCTTTGTTTGGCCTTGGGGGCAGATGGAGGCACGGGGGGGGGGGGGACGACTGCAGACAGGAAGGTTCTCCCTTAATGTCGGAAAGACCCCCCAATGATGAGAGCCACCCCCCAGCAGAATGGCCTGCCTCGGGATTTAGGGAGCTCGCCATCCCTGGAGATCTTCCAAAGAAGTCCACATGCCCCTTGTCAGGGCTGCTGCCAGTCTTGCCTGGATTCTCCTGGGGTCTCTGGATTGTGATTCGATCAGTGCATATGCTCCCTCCGATGCTGTAACTCAACTCGTGGGGAACATGCATTCTCAAATAGAACTGCCCGGGGCACTGAGTGGTCAAGGGCCTTGCCTAGGGTCACACAGCTAGTCCATGTCATTGGTGGGACCTGAACTCAGCAGGGTCTTCCTGACTCCAAAGCTGGGCCCCCATCAGCTCGGCCACATTGCTTCTAAGACACCACGATCCCGGGGGCAGTGACTTGGCCGTGGGCACACGAGGGGCTGAGCCGGGACACAAAGCCTGCTCCTGAAGTCTTCCCAGTACACGAATGGGCCTCCAGCGGAACCCGGGCTCCTGGCTGGGCAGCCCTCACCTCACACAAACACGCCACAAATCTAGTCTTGGCCAAGTTCTGTCTGACTGGTGACAAGGAGTCTAAGACAGGAGTATTTTTCTCCCCAAATACGAAAGCTAATTATTAAGGAATACAGAGACAGGCAAGTCTCTTCCTAATGGTCAGACTCTCACCCTAAGTTCTTTGATATTAGAAGCTCAGAGGAAAGGAGAAGGACACAGTCCTGAGGCTGATTTTCACGCTCTGGTTTTCCTGGTGAAAATGCAAATTAGGTTTGTGTTTCATCGTGCTCAGCGGCAGGCAGCACCAAAAGTATTCCAAGAAGACAAAGATCACACCAACAACAGCACAATCACAGCGCCCTGGTGTGGGAGGTCACAAGCTGAGACCTGACATCATGCTTCCTGAGGGTGTCCCTGGGGATTCCAGCTTAGGATGGGGCTGAGGGCCCTTCCAGTTTGGAGAGCCTGGGGCTCTGACAAAGAAAAACTTTCCAATGGAGTCATTCAATAGCCAAATGGACTGGCTTGGGATGAGCTGGGTGCAGCCGTGAGCTCCCGGGCAACGCAAAGCGTTCTATCACCAAAGGCTGGACCGTCTGTCAGGGATGTCTGCTAGGTGAACAGAGCCTCCTGGGCTGGGACGGGTGTCCTCGGAGGCCCCTTCTGGGTTCTAAGGTACTTCTAGAGAACTCCTGCGAGATCATAACTTGTGTCTTTATGCACGAAAGGGATGGTCCAAGAAAAGGAAGACTGAACCAAAGCAGCCCTCAGACCAAATAGATTTCCTTCAACATAACTTTAAAACCATGTTGTTGTTGTTTTTTAAAAAAAAATTTAATCTAATTAAACTTTAAAAAACAGCGATGACATTTATTAGGTTCACTGACATGCAAAGGACGATAGATTTCTGTTGGAAAACCTAATTATATACAGCAGCAATGGAAACATGGTGAAAAGGATCCAATTCATACCTTCCAATGGAACGCACTTCTCCTAGATACCTCCGTTGGCAAAGGAAGGGGGGGGGGAGGGAGGGAGGGGAGAAGAAGGAAGGAAGAAAGGAAGGAAGGAAGGAAGGAAGTCAGAGAAAGATAGGGAGGTGTGAGGCAGTCTCTGGAAGAAGCCCAGCCTCCCCGAGGCCACTGCACTCCGACCATGCCCTCCTGCTTTCACTGGGACAGCTATTTCCACGTGGTCAGGGCAGTCTTTCCTGTGTCTCTGGTCCGACTGCCTTTAAGCCCAATGGATGGCCCAGAACGATTCCTTAGGTCCCGCTCTGCCCCGTCGTTCTGAGCTAATTCTTCATCGTACCTAAGAACAAAAACAGAGCGGGCCCACGTTGTCTCTGGAGCGGGGCTCTCAGGCCACTGTGGCCTTCCTGACGTGAGCTCCTCTCCCCACCCCCTCACAGTGGGCACCAACTGAAGGCAGCCCATCTCTGTTTCCTGACGGGTGACTTGGGGCACAGAGGGAGGCCGGCCCAGGATAGGAAACTTTCAGGGCTCTTGTTCCCAGAGGAGAACCTGGCCCCAGTCAAACAGCCCGAGGGGCCTGGGAGGCATCACAGAGGGAAGAGAGCAGTGGGTGCCTACTCACCACCCAATGAAAACTGCTGAGGGTCAGCTTTTCATTCATTCATCTGCTCAATAAACATTTATTAAGTACCAACTCTGGGCAAGGCACTCAGGCAAAAAGGAGGCAATTTCTGTCCTCAGCGCCCCTCTCCCAGGGCTACTGTGAGAACATAATGAGATATTTGCAGAGCAGTGTGCAGCATCCAGTGGGAGCTTAATAAATGCTTATCCCTTTTCCCTTCTGCTCCCCCCCCCAAGGAGCTGATGTTACACTGAGGGGGAGCTGACCCAGGGCTGTCAGGAGAGGCTTTCTGTGGGAGGGAGCTCCAAGGGAGGCTGGGCATTCAGAGACAGGGCAGGCACTGCAGGCCCGAGGGGGAGTCCCCTTCGGAAGGACCAAAGCGATGTGCTTCAGCCTGCCTGCCCCCCCCCCACCCCACCGTCCCTGCCTCCCAGAAGCTGTGTGCTGGTGGACTAGACAATCACCCTCTCTGGGCCTTGCTTTTCACACCAAAAACCAAGATTGGACTTGTCCAAACTTGGTGGAGGACCCTGACTCATCCTGCAGGCCGGCCTGGGGAAGGGCAGCAGAAAGTCCAGCGGCCCCAGCCTGGCCTCGGCCACCCGCCTCCTGTGACCCCCTTCAATCTCCTTTTGCCTCAGGGTGTCTCAGTAGCTTCTGGGAGGCGCTGGCCCAAGCCCCCATCCCCAGTCGCTCTTCCAACTTACAAAATTTCATAATTGCCGAGCACTTCCTTGGGTGGCGACTTATTCCACTTGCAGTCTGGAATTTCGCCGTTGGGCACAGCGATGTTGAGGGTGTCATTGATCAGGTTATACTTGAGGATCCGGTCATTGGCCGTGCTGGAGGTGAGAGATGGGGACGCATTAACCTAAAGAGAGGACACAAGGCGACTTTGACCTGGGACCCGACACACACAAACCCCGCGAGGAAACAATGGCGGAGGACAGCCCGGCTCGGGCCACGCTGGGGATGTCCCCCCAGCGCTCCAGGCAGCCGACACCACATGCGTCAGCTGTAGGGTGGCCACGCGCTGCGTTACCGAGCATCCTCTAAGGAGGGCCCCCTTCACCGGGCACCACATCAAGGACTGGACCGCTCTCTAAGACACGCCTTCCTGGCTCGCTGAGTTCTGAAAATGCCCTGCAAATGTCCCGTTTGTCCTCTCAGAGGGCATCCTCGTCACTCATCACAGCTGCTAAAGAAACGTTTCTATGCTTCCCGGACCAGGAGCACGCATGTACCCTGCCTCTCAGCAGGACCGCGGGCCTGGTAAAGATCAGAGTAGGGAACCGTGGGAAGAGAGCGGACAGGCAGAAAGCCAAGGAAGGAACCCGAATGCACGGAGCAATTGTGTCACCGCCTCGCTCAACTTCCTACGTGAGTCTTAGAAACAAACTGCAGAACAAAGTCTCCACTACAAAGAAAACCCTCTTTTTGATTTGCTTGTGTACGTGGAGTAGAATAACTGGGTTTGTTGGTGTCAGCCGTGGGGACAGGCTGGCGGCCGCTGCCCGCTGGGCCTACAATCATCACTGACTCTCCACATCACCTACACCCGTTTGAAGACCCAGCGAAGCCGCCCTCCTGGAGTGTAACGGCAAAAGCTGCACGCCAGAAGGGACTCATCTGGGAATCTCGCTTGATGCCGGCCCCATGGAGCTACACAGAGGCAGCTATACGTTGCCACTTACGGATGCACAACGACGGTGCACGTGCACAGGTGTCGTTTGCCCCTTTAGGACTGGTCGGCCTCGAAGACAGAGGCTGTTCTTACTTCCTCTTTCTCTCTCCAGCCCTGAGCACGTGCCTGCACCTAGGAGGCGCTCGATAAATTCCTGCTGACTGAGTGACTGCTCCCCACAACACCCTGTGACACCCACGCTGTAGGGATTATTCCCATTTTGTAGGCGGGGCGACCGGAGCTCAGAGAGCTTCAGTCACACAGCTCTTCAGTGTTTTGGAGGTGGGATTTGAACCCAGCTCCCTCCTGATTCCAAGTCCAGTGCTCTCTGAGCCACAGCAGGCCGTCCATGTGGCCTCTGTTTCTGCCATTTTAAAAAACTCCTGTTGGTCCTTTCCTCATCCCAGCCTGGGGAACGCTCGGTCCCTCCCAGGTCAAGCTGAGCTCTCTCCACAGCTGTCCCTTATGGAGACGGACGCTGTGGCTCTGAGAGCAACAATGCAGTCCTGGGGGGGGCTGTGGCCAGCTCACCCACCCCCACTCTGCACCTGCCCACAATGAGAGCTCTCTGAAGAGGAGGGGGAGGAGGGGGAGGAAGAGGGGTAGGGGGAGAAGGGAGGGAGGGGAGGAGGGAGAGGAGGGGAAGTGAGAGGAGGAGAGGGGAGGGGGAGGACGGAGAGGAGGAGGGGAAGTGAGAGGAGGAGGAGAGGGGAGGGGGAGGAGGGAGAGGAGGAGGAAGGGGAGGGGGCTGGCCCAGGCCACAGGGTCAGTTACCTCGATCAGCCAGGGTTTCAGTTTATCGTCAATGATGATGTCGTAGCCGTAGCACTCAAAGCAATGCTTGTCGTTATTCATCACGGGCTGAAAAGAGACAGATGAGAGACCGATGACTGGATGACGCTTCCTGTCACAGGCCCATCCTGGGTGCGCCATCTGCCCTCGCCAGACCTAAACAACACGGCACACACGGACCACTCGTGCGGCTCTCACTGTCACCTCTGGTCTCCCGGTGAGGGAGGCCATGGGGCCCTTTAGGAGGGGAAGGAGCCCAAAGTCTGCTCAGATGAGCCAACCCTGCAGAGCCCATGCTCTGGGCAGCCCTCCACTGGAGCTGGGGAAGGTGATGGCAGGGCCGGGAAGTGACGTGGCTACCGTCTCAGGGTTTACCAATTCTGGCCCTATTTTTGGCTCGAATTCTGCGGCCTTACTGTGGTCTTCATTCACACTCATAATTACTGCACGTGGGGTGTCTCTGGCTAGGCTCACCTCCCCCTGCAACACTTCCTCCAAGTCCCCCCTTGTCTATCTGCCATTCCTAATGATGCATTAATATTCCACCACGTTTACACAACCATACAGAAGCTCAGCCACTCCCCAACAGCATCCCCTTTGTTTCCAGATGTTTGCAATGCCAAGTGACGCTGCTATGACCACTGTGGGACCGACAGGGCCTTCTTTTTGCCTTGGCCTTCCTTGGAGTGTGAGTGTGGCAGCAGGAGGTTGGGCCAGCTGAGCAGCTTCTGCCCCACCCCAAGGGCATTCATGTGCCAGTCCTCCTCGAGCCTCCAGCAGGGACCGTTCCCACCTTTCCCCATCCTCACTGGGCTGAAAGCATTGGGCAGCTCCCAGAACACAGCCTTACTCTGGACGCCTATTCTTAATGCGCAAGAGCATTCTTAGGTGGTGGTCGATTGTTAACATTTCTTCTTTTGAAAACCCTTCCTTCATACCCTTTGACCACTAATCAACTAAAAAATGATGGCTTTATAGACGTACAGGTTCTGAATGTCCTTTTAACATAGATGTTTTAGAAGATTACAAGGCATGTTTTAAAAGATTAATTCAATTCATCTATCAAGAATAGTAATAATAACTCACAGTTAGATAACACTTTCAGGTTTACAAAGCACTTTCCCCCACAATAATTGTAGGAGTTACTGAGAAAGTTGAGCAATTATTATTGTGGTTTATTTACAGTTGGAGAAATTGAGGCTCTGGGGAGAGGTGGCTACTAAGAAGCCGCTAAGTGAAACATCAGCACTAATGATCCTTGAAGATGAGAAGGCTATCAGGCTAAGACAGACTAGGTGCGGACACCTGACACCTGGGTCACTCATGACCTCTTCTCTCATTCTTCCTTTACCCAAAGACGGGGGGAAGGGCAGTGCCCCTCCCATGATGCCCTCCTCCCTGTGCTCTCGAGGGCTTTGCGGGCTTGAATCCCGCCTCAGCCTCTGAGCGCGGCTCACTGAGCCAAGGTTGGCCAGAGCAACTTGTGAGGAGGGTCTGCTCAAGCCTAGAACTAGGGCAGTGATTTGTGCAGACAGAAGGACTCATGCCATGTAAATCGCCAATCCTCGGAGAACTGAAGGATGTAATTTCTCTGCTTCTACCCACTCAAGAGTCACTAGAAATTCAAGGCTTTTAGCATAAAAATCAAGTGATCTGAGCATTTCTGACTTTTCCCCACTGTCTCTGAGAACCTGTCCGAGTGCTTTCAAAGTCAGGCCCAAGGGAAGAGATTCTGAATGGGAGGGCAGGAGAGGGGGATGTGCCTCGCTGCTCCTGTGACCCAAAGGGGGCTGTTACTGTCTTGCCTAAAAGCCCATCGGGTGGAACAATGCTCTGAGGGGCTCCTTTCAGGGGTCCCAGGAGAACAAAGCTGTTCCAGGCCCAGTCGGCAAGATGGGAAGCAGCCTGGCCCCCTCCGGGGAGCCAGCACCAGTCAGACTGGTGCGTTTCGCAGGCAACTAACTGACAAAATGCCATGACGTGATGACAGGGCAGAATTGTAATTTCTAATGAAGGTGATGGTAAAATGACATTAGTTAGGACATTATGTGGGGAGGGCCTAACTACTGACCTTTTTTAAGTCCTAGAACACTTTTAACAGAGATCCTTAATGACAAGTGATGGAGCAGATTACACATGGCACCATTTTAAAATGCTTTCCAATTTTTTTATGGTATAATTAGCAAAAGACTGGAAATGCAGTAAAAGAAGACATTGGTAGGTCTACAGGCCTGAAATAAATGTTCTTTAGAGTAGTGTTGATATAAGAGAAATGGCACTCTTCTCATGGCTGGGGCCTGCTTCTGAACTCTGGCTCCAATATTTATGAGTAACCTGGAAAATCACTTAGGAACCTCAGTTTCCCCATCTCTGTAAAATGGAGGCAATTCTCACTCATTCTCCATCCGTCCCAGGGCTGCTGTGAGGAAAGTTCTTGGCAACTCTGAAGGTATCCGGGAGATAGGAGTGATTGTCCTGGCTGTGCTCAATCCTGCCATCCCCCAAGACCGGGGGCCAGCCCGGTCCTTCCCTGAAGCCTTTGTCAGACATTCCTGACCACGATGACCCTTGCCATGGGCACGCCTCGCTTGGTTTGGGCACAGCAACATTTCAGCTTCAGAGGATTCCAGCATCTGGGGATGGACGACCCCCAAGCCTAACTCCCTCTGCTTACAGAAGAGGGCACTGAGAGAGGCCGTGGCTGGATCAAGATTACCCACCATAGTTTTCTCACTCTCAGACACAAGCTCTGTAAGCTGGCTACTTAACCTTCTGTTGTCTGGGTTTTGTTTCCCCGAGACTATAAACACTCGAGGGCATTTTCAAATTAAAACAACCCTCAGATATTACTTCCTCTTCCTAAGTTTCACAAATAGAGGTAAAAGATGGAAAAACTGAGCATGAATCAGGATGCAAGAAAACAAGCAGTTAATTCACTGAGGGCAGAGTTGTGAATTGGTCTGGCCATTTTGGAAAAGTTTGGAATTACGCAAGAAAAAAGAGCCAATTATTCAGTCCCATCGGCCCTGAGAGCTCATTAGGTGGCTGCTACTTAGAGGCAAGTGAGATGAGATCCGTCGGCATGGAAATATCCAGAGCAGCACACTCGGGTTTGTTTGTTAGGGTCCACACCTCTATGTAACAGCCCAAAACTGGAAACAGGGAGTCCCATCAGCGATGAGCACCCGCAGAGTCTGTGGGACGGGCGCCGCCCAGAGCAACTGATAGGAAGAATTCTGAGAGGCATCCGAAGGCCCGTGTGAAGTGACGCAAAGTGAAGACGGCAGGCCCAGGAGAACTGTCTACACTGGGACTGTAACCAGAGAAAGGAAGGTGACTTCAGAAGGCCACAGAGCCCAGACACAAACCCTGGCTCATGGGACCCTGGCTTTCCTCTCATGCCCAGGGTGGCTCAGGCACCATTTTTTCATCCTATTTGACTTTGATATTCTCAGGGATTGTCTGAGGTGGTCACTGGCCTCCAGAGGGAAATGCGAGAACAAAAGTTATCAATACGCTTTTAACCAGGTGAGCTGCCTGACCATCTCTTCTATTTCCCTATGGTCAAAGTGTCAAGCGCAAGGAATTGTCAGCTTTATTTCTGCCATGAGCCGTGTCCCAGCCTCCCAGGACCTTAGCCAGGAGGCCGCAGAACCACTCTGTGTCTCTCAGAGAGTCTGAGGCATAGGAGAGCTTCCCCATCCCCCAGCCCCGGGGATCTATGTTCCTGGATTTAAAGGTCCCCAGCCACAAGCCCTTCCTGCTCCTTTCCTCTGCTGGGAAATTCTTTCTGATGGCTAATCTCAGTCACTCCCCAGAAGTCTGAGGCTGGTAGTGGGACAGCCAAAGGGGATGCGGACAAGCAATCGGGGGAAGGAGGAAGAGAGGGCTAGTCCACGCTGAGAATTCACATGATGGAATGAGCAAGGGCCTGGGAATTAGGACCCCTGGGTTTCAGCCCAATGCTGCCAATGAGCAAATTTTTTACTGTTGATATTAAACGACGGCTTGGGCCGATTTTTCCCAGGTCCACAGTTGTCATGGAATCTCAGCTTTGGGAAAAGACCTCAGGGGTCAGGTTTTGCCACCAGACATCCTACTTCTGGGATGAAAGCAACTGGGCAGCACTTCGCATGTCTACGTGTTGGCTCCCTCCTCCCAAGACCGCCTCTGTCCTCGGTAGACACGTAGGAGGTGAGACTTTTAAAACAGACTTTAGAACAGAAGGGACCCAACAACACACACTTCAAAACACTTCCTACAAAACACACGCGTTTCAGCCAGTTGCTTTTCCCCTCCATTTCCAAAACTGCTAAAAACGTACAACTGTGACCCAGGCTTGACACGCACACACCACTACTCACAGCCACGGCCTTCAGGGACTGCACGATTATCCAGTGGATTTCATCAAACAGCTTGCCTGTGACCTCCTTCCCACGCGTGCTCTCCAGATACAACCGCAAGTTGTTCACTGTCCACTTGCCCCCGTGGATGTGGTTGTAATCATCCTGGCAACATCACAGGGAGGGGAGGGGGGGAGAAGGAAGAGACGTCTGTATCAATTCACACAATCTCAAGCACTCGGCACCACGAGCTACCCAGCTCTGCGTATGGATTTTAAAAAGACGAAGAGCAGCCACCCTGGCCCAGCACAAGACCAGCCGATTTGTCTTTGTCTTTACAGCCCTGGTGCCTGGGACAGAACTTTGCACACAGCAGGCAATTACTCTTTATTTTACACACACACACACACACACCCCCACAAAACCCGAGTACTCCAAAGTACAATTGGACAAACTGGAACCCAGACTCAACTCCAGCTGTGTGACCCAATGTCCTCCTCTGTGAAATGAGAGGGGTGGGATGGCTCTGATGGCCCCCAAGGCTCCTGCACCTCTAAACTAATTAGACTGTGAGCTCCTCGTGAGCAGGACTGTTGCGTTTTTGCCTTTCTTTGTACCTCTGGCACTTAGAACAGTGCCTGGCATGTAGTAGGCGTTTAATAAATGCTTCTTGACCGACTGACAGAAATCTGTGATCCTCTGACCTCCCTGAGTGTCCACTTCCTCTTGGAGGGGGGAGGGCGGGTAGCTGAGGTCCCCGCCACCTCCAAATCCTGTGATCTTAAGCTACAAGGGCCAGACTCAGGTTCCCGGAGGCAGGAGCACCCTGACAAGGAGAGCCGGCCACAAATGAAGGTGCCCCTAGGAGGCAGTGAGCCCCCCTCTCTGAAGTTCTTTGGGGAGAGACCAGATGACTTGTCCCCTTTGGGGGACATTAGGTGGGGACTCTCAATGGTTCTGTATCCAATATCCACCACTGGAAAGCCTCGATTTCACAACTGGCGGCCAGGTCAATTCAGCAGGAATGTGCAAAGTGGAGGCCTTGCGTGGGCATGGGGAGACCGCAAGGGAAAGGCAGGGCCCTTGACCGTTTCAATCCAAGTACTTGTCTTCTCTCGTGACACCAGACCAGAGCCTGGCTGCCCTCAGCCTTCTGAGCACACACATCCCCCTCAGCCCTTTACATCTCTAGGACCGGCTGGCAATGCCGGAGCCAGGGCCTTCACTGGGCTCCTTGGCTACTTCCGCAGTGGTGCCAAGAGGATGTGGGGTCAGGGACTGGCATTTCTCCTTTGTCCACATCTTAAATCTAGTTCTTATTTCTGTATGAATGACCTATTGTGGCTCAGTCCTGGAAAACAAGAGTGGATGGTTCAGAAGACCCTTCCTCAGATGCCGCAGAGGGTCGTGGCCCCCCGCTGGTCCCTCCTTAATACACAATCCTTGCCTCAGATGCTAATTCTTGACCTAGGGTTATGCATAGGCTGCCAGTGGTCACAGCAGAGAGCCCCGACGGTGAATGTGTGCCACCCCCGGCACTTCCCCGTCTGCTCTCCAAATCAGTCCTCTGCAAGAAAGCAAGTGAAAAATGTGTTCCTGAGGTCACTATCACAGCCCCACCATCCCACCCCTCCACCCTTACTGAAGGGAAATGAATGTGGATAGCACTGGGGCAAACGTGAGCTAGACACACCACCTGCCTGCCTGATATGAAAGGTCCTTGGGTCCAAGGGAGGTGACCACCTTGGAAAAGGATGCTTGGCAGGGCAGCTAGGTGGCGCAGTGGATAGAACACCAGCCCTGGAGTCAGGAGGCCCTGAGTTCAAATTCGGCTTCAGACATTTGACACTTACTAGCTGTGTGACCCTGGGCAAGTCACTTAACCCCATTGCCCAACCCCCCCCCAAAAAAACCCAAAAAAGCAAAAGAAAAGGACACCTGGCCCAGCTCCCCAAAGACCCTGAGTGACTGAGCCGAGCTGAGTGGTGCCCCCGACTGCAGACCCATCAGGGATAACAGGATCTAGCAGGAAGGCCTGGGGCTGGGTGTCTCACTGTTAACGTGGCTGTTGAGGACATGAGCTCCAGGGCCATCCAGTTAGATCATTTATTTTTCCTCCCCTCTTTCCCATGAGGACAACAAGAGAGGCCTTCTATTTGAAATGTCTACGTCTTGGAAAGTAGTCATTAAGGGTTCTATTGTTTAAACCTTACTTAACTCTGATTCAGCCCATGGTGGAAAATGATGACATAAGAAAAAAAAATCAAAACTGCAGGTGACCCCAGGGGCACAAGAAAAAAAGGATATCACCAGGGACATGGATGGCCAGGAGAGGAAGGGAGCTTGTCATGGGGTGAGACCCAGAGACGGCAGATGGCCAGCAAGAGTGCTTGTCCTGGTGTGTGGAGCGCAAAGGAAGGCCCTGCACCTCACGGGGACAGTCAGTCCTGGAGGCTTATGGGGAGGGCCTGCTGGGAGCCCCCCATCCCCTGGCTACAGCACACACTGAGGGATGGGTTTCCAGGCAGCTTGGGGACGGCCACTGAGCCCACCCCAGCAGGGAGGCCAGAAGGACATGCTCCCTCAGCCCTAGGGCTCAGCCAGTCTGCCTGCAGCTGACAGAAACTGAGGAAGATGGCTGCAAAGACATTCCCTGCCCTCTCCCATTGTTTATGGATGTTGAACTGCCAATATAAACAAATCCAGGCATTTCTGTGCACTGCAGGTATGACCTGCCTCCAGTGACCTCCTTCCTGTAGAGGTGTGGGCACCCAGCACGTAATCTGGTCCTGAACTTATTCAGCTCTGGGGATCTGAACAGAGACTTTGCTCATCATGCCCCACCCTCCAGCCTCTAGCAGCATGGCTAGAGATGGAGGGGAAGGGGCTGTCAAACCAGGGCACTCCACCTCTTGACCCGGGGCTCCAAGGGAGCTGCCCAGCACAACCCCAGTGCTCCCGGGCGCTGCCACAGTGACCGTCCCGGGCACCCCAGGCGTGGCCGGCCCTTGCCTTCCTTCTGTGCCCAGGAGGCGAGAGGAGGAGCCAAAGGGCAGGCAGAGAGGAGTCGGGCCCCTGGCCTCAGCACTTACCCCATGCTTCTGGATGGCAACGTTGGTGAGGTGGACAAACATGTTGTCCAGCTCACTCGTGCTTGGTGTATACTTCACGGTGCAAAATCGACAAAAGCCCAGCTTATACCTGCAAAGACGCGGGAGTCATTCCACACGACCCAAGAGAGCCGGCCCCAGGACAACGCACAAGACCCCGGGCAGCGCGAGCTCTAGGACAGATGCGCTAACAACCGAGAGCAGAGAGGAGGAGAGAGGAGGAGAGAGAGGTGGAGACGAGAGAAGAGGGAGAAAAGAGAAAGAGAGGAGAGAGAGAGGCAGGAAGAGAGAGAGATAGAGGAGAGAAGAGAGAGACAGAGAGGAGATAAGAGGGAGAAAAGAAAAAAAGAAGAGAGAGAGAGGCAGGAAGAGAGAGAGAAAGAGGAGAGAAGAGAGACAGAGAGGAGATAAGAGGGAGAAAAGAGAAAGAGGAGAGGCAGGAAGAGAGAGGGAAAGAGAGAGACAGGAGAGAAGAGAGACAGAGATGAGAGAAGAGGGAGAAAAGAGAAAGAGAAAAGAGAGGCAGGAAGAGAGAGAGAAAGAGAGAGACAGAGGAGAGAAGACAGACAGAGACGAGAGAAGAAGGAGAAAAGAGAAAGAGAAGAGAGAGAGAGGCAGGAAGAGAGGGAAAGAGAGAGACAGAGAAGAGAAGAGAGAGATGGAGAGGATAGAAGAGGGAGAAAAGAGAGAGAGAAGAGAGAGAGGCAGGAAGAGAGAGGGAAAGAGAGAGACAGAGGAGAGAAGAGAGACAGAGACGAGAGAAGAAGGAGAAAAGAGAAAGAGAAGAGAGAGAGAGGCAGGAAGAGAGGGAAAGAGAGAGACAGAGAAGAGAAGAGAGAGATGGAGAGG